TATTCGGACTATTGTCCTCATCTTTGTCGCCATATTTATTGCAACGTTTCGGCCGTTGTACGTTCCGACATTCTTCAGGTGGTTGGAATGTCGAACAGAACCCTTTATTTCGCTCACTGTAAATAGTGTACATAACACCTCATCTCAGAAATATAGACAGATACTGAAAGGCCGAAACGTTGTAATAAATATGGCAACAAAGATGAGGACAATAGTCCGAATAATGTAAATAGTGTACATAACACCTCATCTCAGAAATATAGACAGATGCTGAAAGGCTGAAACGTTGTAATAAATATGGCAACAAAGATGAGGTCAGTACTCCGAATAATGTAAATAGTGTACATAATACCTCATCTCAGAAATGTAGACAGATACTGAAAGGCCGAAACGTTGTAATAAATATGGCGACAAAGATGAGGTCAGTAGTCGAATAATGTAAATAGTGTACATAATACCTCATCTCAGAAATATAGACAGATGCTGAAAGGCCGAATCGTTGTAATAAATATGGCGACAAAGATGAGGTCAGTACTCCGAATAATGTAAATAGTGTACATAATACCTCATCTCAGAAATGTAGACAGATACTGAAAGGCCGAAACGTTGTAATAAATATGGCGACAAAGATGAGGTCAGTAGTCCGAATAATGTAAATAGTGTACATAATACCTCATCTCAGAAATATAGACAGATGCTGAAAGGCCGAATCGTTGTAATAAATATGGCGACAAAGATGAGGTCAGTACTCCGAATAATGTAAATAGTGTACATAATACCTCATCTCAGAAATATAGACAGATACTGAAAGGCCGAATCGTTGTAATAAATATGGCGACAAAGATGAGGTCAGTACTCCGAATAATGTAAATAGTGTACATAATACCTCATCTCAGAAATGTAGACAGATACTGAAAGGCCGAAACATTGTAATAAATATGGCGACAAAGATGAGGGCAATAGTCCGAATAATTGAAATAGCGTACATAATACCGCATCTCAGAAATATAGACAGATATTGTAACCATTAATTAAAAATGTTTCTCTTTATCGACAAAAATAACATGTGTACTGTGACAGGATATAAGGAAACAACATTTACCAAGCAATTTCTCTTCTGCGTTGTGTCTATTTAGGGTGTGGTCTCTCCACAGTTTCTTATCCTTTGTCGCTCTTAGCAATGTTTCTACCTTTACTATCAATTTTAGTCTCTTTTGTGTCAACCATTTACGCAACATCCTTTCACTGAACCCCACTTGCCGTCTGCTACTTCCTGTTAGAGTCAAATTCTCCAAGCTCCTCATTACGTGCCTCAATTCTGTTTTTTCAGATTATTAGTATATTTGTTGTTTTTGTATGCATTTCCCTTAGACCTTCGTCGTTGTTTATATGTCCCATCCATGATATTCTCAGCATCCTTCTGTAGCTCCACATCTCTGTTACCTCAAGCCATCTTTATCTGTGCGGAAATTGTCTAAAATTCACTACCATATACGAGGCTTGTTATTCCGTAGCAGTTCAACACATTTCTATGAATATTTTTTTCTTCTTTTTCTTAATACTTTGCTTAGCTTTTAGAAGGCATTTTTCTCTATTCCAATGCGCCTTCGGATTTCGGTGTCCTATTTTCAGATAACTAGCTTCTTAGATAGATAGATAAATAGACTGAGATGCATAGGGTATTTTCATTTATTGGTTTGTCAGATAAATTCGCTCGATTCTTTTCCAGTTTTATATGAATTAACACCCAAAATATTTTTACCGTCGTATTTTATGTATTTTTTCCCTGTTGTTTTATTTTTTGTCTACACCTTTTGTTTATCGATTTATATTATGATTATTTGAACATTGCTTGCTCGAAAACACTTATTCGAAAAACATTTATTCTAATTGTAAATTGTTTGAATGAAAATTAAACGAAAGTACAATTATACTAAATAATTATTCGAAATGCGAGATTTTTTATTGTAATAAAATGTAAAAGTTAAAAGAGGAAATATACACATGATAATTATTCAAAATAGAAATACCGTTAATAAAACAATTTAGTAAGAAAAATTCCTAATAACCTTCAGTTATATGATACTGCACGCAGATAGTCAACTGCTGAAGAGTACTCGCTAAATCTGCCACTAAATTTTTAACTTTTCCATTTACGTCGCTGTATTTCTTGGCGCTCTTGATATTTTGATAACCTGTTCTTACTTTTGCAATATTAATGTCTTACAAGTTCTATTCTCTTTTATAAGCGTGTAAGAATTTCCATATTGTGGGTTGATGGAATTAAACATGCTGCAAAAAAGCCCTATGCCATTCTTCAAGGGCGTTATTACTTCCAGGTAAATCAGCATTGAGTCTCTCAAAGAAAGACCACATACGTATTTCAAACATAGATATTTCTAATAATTATCATTTAGTATAATTGGTCTTTAGATTAATTTTCATTCAAACAGTTTACAATTCAAATTAATGATTTTCGAATAGTGGAATTCGAACAATATTCTCGATATACTTCATTTATGAACACTTGCATTCACAGACATTCCCTCTAATACGAACATACATACACACACACAGACATATATATATATACATATATACATACAAATATATATATATGTATAAATATATATATATATAACTACATATACATACATATATATATATATATATATATATATATATATATATATATATATATATATTCTGGTTCTTTTTTTTTATCAAATTTTTTTTTCTCGAATGCCAATTTGTTTGAAAATTGTGCTAGCCATGTTTTTTTGTCAGTTTAAATAGTTTTACACACACACACACACACACACACACACACACACACACACACATATATATATATATATATATATATATATATATATATATATATATACACATATATATATATATATTATTGACTGATTTGTTAAAATTGTTGTTGAACAATAGGATTAAAATAAATGGATAAAAACAAGGAATTTATCTGAAAACCCAATATATTCAGATTGTTTTCGCTTAAGTAGGTGAGTAATATGAAAGCTTGTTGTACCTTCCACGTACTCATCCATGAACATTAAGATGAATAAATTTATCGAAAATTTTCTACATCTATGTGACATTAACAGAATAATAATAATAGTAATAATCATAATCGTAATAATATGTAACGAGTTTCTACTAGCGATATTATAATTAGCGTTGTCCGTTTTCTTCTTTTTTTGTGTGGCTCCTTCACGCCCAGCATATTTATCATCCATCTGCAGCCTGCAAAATAACCATGAATGAAAGCAGTTTTGTTTAATGTCACTCTTACGATGTTTTCTACAACCACGGCTTCTACTGGCACTACTTTTTCAGATGCAGTCGTATCATCAGTTTTTCCATTGCCTTTTTTCAATGTCGTTATTTTTGTATCACTCAAGGTATCGTCTGCAAGCAGGAACAACAGCAACACTACTAATAATAATGATTATATAATGTTGACAGACTTTACGTGTCGAGAAGCGAGCAGACTCATTAGTATTGAGGACTGTGACGTCTCAGTTATCAAAGGATTTGAGGACATCACAAGGCGGGTGTAATGAGCGGCTGATTGTGACAACCAGAATTGGCACTAGAATTGGCAACAAAACAATGGGTCAACACAAGAAACGAAAAATAACTCTATAGTGATTACAAGACATAAGCGAGAGGAATCCAACACCAAATAGGTATGATTTCGACACTTCAAGAGAGTTTCTACTTTATTTTATTGGTTCAAGATGTCAGATACAGATATTATTGGAATGGCAGTAGAGATTGAGCCTTCATGCCAACGGCCAAATTTCTTTTGTATTTGCCTTGTTTCAGATAGCAGCTGAGCGGCACTCAAGTAAAATAGTGACCAGCATGAAATTGTATAAGAAGGTGTGTTATTGAATTCCTCTATGTGGAAGAAATAGACCCGCTAGCATTGATCTCTACGGAAACCATATAGTGTATGTAAGCAAAGTTAGGGAGCCGGTAATAGTTTTCTTTAGTAAAGAATCGTTTTAGTGTTTTATGCGTGTATGGAACTATGTTTCGGATGGCCGTATACAGATGTCAACCAACAAAATGAAGAACTCTTGTTTATTGCGGGAGGAAATCTACAACCTATAGTGACAAATACGCGGAAAAAAATAGTGTTTGTAGCTGAAAACTTGCTCAATCCAAAAATATTACAGTGATGCCGGTACCATTTTAATCTCTGTGGAAATACATAAGCGGCATTTTCTTGAGAGCAGACCTCATTTTAAAGTTAACTATATTAACACTTCGACACCTATGCCGAAACCGAAATGGAAACTTCATTATAGGATAATTTAATGCGGTGAATTGATTTAAAGTATAGATATAGAAAGGAATGGTTAGGCCAGGCGATATTCTAAGAATTGTGCAAGAACCTGGGGTCTGAATATGAAAACTATTGGGATATGAATAAAGGATAACTATCGTAGTGGAAAAAATAAATGAAGAAATTAAAAACGAATCTCCCAATCAAGGCCAGAAAACAGGATGCAATCATTATCAAGAATACTTGTCAAGCTGTTGATAACGCCTTTCTAGCAAATCAGAGTCACAATGATTTTTTAATCATTTCACCCCAAGGAAGGTGACAAAGCCACTAAGATGTAAGGGGTTATTGAGAAGGGAAGAATGTGAGAAAATCTTTATCACGAAGAGAGAACAATAAAGAAACAGAAAACAAGGAGAGAGAAGACAATAAGCATTGCATGTTATTATTTAAAGTACAAATGGAAATATTTAAAATTGAGTAACCGTTAAATATATGATAGTGTTATCCACTCCTATTTTCTCTCCTGCTCTTTCTTTCTTTTGCTCACTGAAACCAAACATCTTCTCTAATATGTTTTTTCCGTTTTCTCTTGCAATCAAAACGTTATTATTTATGAGGTATTGGCGTGGCGTAAAGGTCGTGCTAACTAACTAACAAAGTAACTAAAGGACTAAGGAACAAGCGGCTTACAGCCAAATCACGATGTAACAGTGATTCACGTACGATCACTGTAGTTAAGCAACGTCAAGTCTGGTCAGTACCTAGATGGGTGATCGCTTGGAAATACCAGGTGCTGTAAGCTTGGGTGTGCGGTTCGTGTAATGGATAATGGCTCCAACCTTAGTTAAGCAACTTTGAATCAGGTCAGAAGCTAGATGGATAAACGCTTCGGAATACCAGGTGCTGTAAGCTTGGGTGTGCGGATGGGGTAATGGATAATAGCTTGGAATAGTTAATCGGAGGGGCGAGTTCCAATTCTCGTTGGGTTCTTTATTCACTTACGCGGAAATAATAAAACCTCTCCCCAAATTATGATTTTATAAATAAGACTTGTATCTGTAAATTATCATTAGCTAGAAAAATAAATAAAAGGGTTAAAAATGAACTAATCAATCAATAAGAAACCCATGAATATTTGTATTTACTCAGCCCCGACGAGATCAGGTCGGTTTAATGTGGGGAGCCCGAGTGTGTACACCCGGGCTAGGAACAAAAATTCCCCGATCCCCCGCAACCCTTGAATTCAAAACGAATCCCTCTCTCTCTCTCTCTCTCTCTCTCTCTCTCTCTCTCTCTCTCTCTCTCTCTGGTGTAATGAGAGGGCAGGGACACTGGCAGCTGTTTCCCAGGACTGCGCACCTCTCAGTATAATTTTCCTCAGTTGCGACTTCGTCCTTTGACGGAGCTGCCTCCGAGAGCACTCTGCCCGAAGACAGAGACACAACTGAGAAATGATAAAGAGGATCTTACAAACTACTCGAGAGTGATTTCAAGAATATTAAACGGTATTCCTATTTTAATATTCTGATGAATCTTTATTCTTAAGTTAATGAATGAATCAGCTCATGGCGAATTTTAAAACAACAGAATATCCGTAGAAATTCCCCTGTCGTATCGTTAAATATTTGAGCTTAACAACTTTAACAAAATATTACAATAACAATCATAAATATGGAAGCTGGTCGTCATTTTAAGAAGTAAGGGGGTACAAATGAAAAAAAACTGAAATTGACAACTTTTTCCATTTCACTAAAACAGCCGTTAAACATTTCTACCTTTCCTTGTTTCTTTCTTCCTTTCCTTTTCTCTTTGGAAAGAAGTTGTTTTTTTTTCTTTCTACGTAATCAAAACGGAATAGTCCATTATTTAGTATTGAGTTCGCACGATCGTTACGGCAGGCCGTAACGATCATGCGAACTAATGAATGGGCGGGCAAGTAATAATAATAATAATAATAAGAAGAAGAAGAAGAAGAAGAAGAAGAAGGAGAAGAAGAAGAAGATGGTGATGATGGTAAAAAAGAAGATTATAATAATAGTGAAAATGATGATGATGATGATAATGAGGGTGAACATGATGATAATAATAATAATAATAATAACAGGAAGAAGAAGAAGAAGATGATGATGATGATGATGATGATGATGATGATGATGATGATGATGATGATGATGATGATGATGGTAAAAAAGATTGTGATGATAGTGAAAAAGTTGATGATGATGATGATGAACATGATGATAATAATAACAATAATAATGATAATAATAATAGGAAGAAGATGATGGTGATGGTGGCAAAAAAAAGATTATGATGATAGTGAAAAAGACGACGATGATGATAATGAGCGTGAAGAAGAAGATGAAGATGATGATGATGATGATGAAGAAGAAGAAGAAGAAGAAGAATGGGCAGTATATTCGCTAAAAAAATATGCCACCATAATAGTGCCCCATGTGCTGAAAATAGTATGAACATAACCCTTAACCAGTCTCAGAATACTGAAATAGCCATTCTTTGGAACTTAGTAATTAAAGACTATAAACAAAGTAAAATGCATCTTCTTATAGATATGGCAGAGCAGTAGGATAAGATTATATGTTAAAAATATAACAAAATTGGTAATTATAAGAATCTTGGAATTGAAATTGAATAAATGTGACATTTTAAAACTACTGTTGGAAAATCTGTAACTTCTACGGAAAGAAATTGCAAGAAATTGATATGAACACCGCCTAGACTTGGTTACAGAGATAGGACCTGTAACAATTTCATGGGATGTTACAATACGCACAGACAGAACAATCTGAGCTAATCGCCCAGACAACGTGATTAGAGATCGCAAAGACAAAATGGGCCTATGGCTCACCATGCAAGTTGCAAGGTTTCTTTGAAGATCTTTAAAAAACTATCTAATATAAGGACCTTGAAATCGAAATGTCAAATGGCAGATGCAAACATCAACAATTCCAGCTGCATATTGGGACCCCGGATTAATTGAAAAAGATTCCAATAGACACACTGAAGGGATCCTTGCTGCCCATGCCTGAAAAGAATACAAAAAATTGTTCTCACGAGTACAGCCCACACCTTACGAAGGGCTTTAGCTATGTAAAATGTGTGTGATTAAAAAAATAATAATAATTGCTCAGTGGAAAATGTCATGATGCCATTTCTGACCTGAGGTCTTTGGTCGAGAACCGGAAAGAAATGAGTACACACCAGAAATTAAAGGAGATAAAATAATAATAATAATAATAATAAATCTGCAACTTGTACGGGAATGAAACTGAAAAAAACTGGTATGAACACCACCCAGACCCGGTTACGGAGATAGGACCTGTTACAATTCTATGGGACTACACAATACACACTGACAGAACAATCAAAGCCAACCGCCCAGATATTGTTATTAAAGACCACAAACAAAAAAAGTGACTCCTTATAGATATGGCAGTCCCTGCTGACTGCAATGTATCTTTGAAGATATTCAAAAAGTTGTCAAAATACAAGGACCTTGAAATAGAAATCTCGAAAATGTGGCATATGGGAACATCAACAATTCCTGTTGTAGTTGGAGCCCTAGGACTGGTTGGAAAAGATTGCGGTAGACTAAAGTCCATGCCTCAAGGAGATACAAAAAATTGTTATGACAAGTACAGCCCACACTTTACGAAGGGCTTTATCTATGTATTTTTTTTTTGTCAGTGGAAAGTGTCATGATGCCATTTCTAACCATAGGTCCCTGGGCGGGACACGGAAAGAAATGTGTAAACGCCAGAAATCAAAGAAAATAAAAATAATAATAATACAAGTTTTCTGTGAATGGTACTGATGGCTTGATGAAAATTGATGTAACATTATTCCTTACTCACCCCCACCCACCAAGAATCTGGTTGAAATAGGTATAAAATGAAAGCCATGATAATATTGGATGAGTGCAGCAGCATAATTAAAACGTATACATGATTGGGTAAGAACACTTATCGAATACGAATTGCGCAGATAGTTTAGGTATGAGGTTGCAAACTAATAATCTGTGGATAAACAAAATTCTCTGGAATTTGGAAATCCAAACGTGTCGCTTAGATCAGAAGGCCAAATATAGTCATTGGTAACAGTGAGAAAATTGCTTCTTCACTCAGTGCATATGGCTCTTCTAGCAGACAATGGAATAACATCGAAAGAACGAGAACAGCCAAACAAATTCCTAAAATTTCGTAAAGAACCGTAAAATAATTATAGAATTTGATTTTGACGTACTTAGAAAAGAGCCTTGTAAAAAAAAATGGTGGAATTGTGAACTCGAGAGAGAATCGAAAATGTTTACTCGACAGAATTGCTAAAGTCAGCATTCATATTGATGAAATCGTTAAAGTATTGAATAAGTTTACTGCCTCTGTTCAGCAGCAAGAGAGACAACCACATCCGATTGGTGTCCAATCTCAACAAATAAAGGAATAATATTAACAAAACAAATTTTTAAAAAATGATGATGTTCTTTTTACTATTTTTAAAGCCAAGTCTCTTCAAGGCGTAGCTGATCAAGGCTCTCCACAACATCCTTTTTCGTCAATTTTATGAACCTCTGTGACTTCTTGGAAAAGATAATGAAATATTTTATTGCATTATCCACAGATTGAATTCACATTTCTTTTCTCCTCGACTGGCTGCTAGCCAAAACTAGAGAGCTAAGCATGCTATTAAACTCATATCTATGGGGAAAAATAGATTTTCACCGTTCCTAAAGGTATACTGTGAAATGAACGGAACAGATGAGACCTGAACTCAGATCCACGATTCTGTTTTTCGTTTCGATTACCAATACGCTATCTTCATATTTGCAACTACTATTAGTAATAATAATTAATTTAAATAGTAGTAATCAATTTTTAAAATAATAATAATAATAATACAATGGATCCTGGCGTGCAATCGCCCTGATATAACAATTAGGCAAAAGAACGGCCAAAAATGAATCCTGATAGACGTTGCCCTATGTTGACATAATATTTTAATGGTGGAGCAGAGTTATCAGGACCTGGCAGGACAAATCAGAGAAATGTAACGAGCTGCTACTCAAGTTGACCCCCTTTTTTTGATTATTTGGTTGGTGCACTCCAGAAATCTTTCTGCTTTGGCCGAAGACTTAGGGATAATTGACATCATTGGGAATGCGTAGCGGGCAGCACTCCTTGCAACTATTCATGTGTTGTGTCTCTAAACTCCGTGTGGAAGCTGAAATATGGCCATCATCACCCAACAAAGAGTTGTAGAGGATGTAAAATTGAATAATAATAATAATAATTGTAAAAAATATAGTAGAGAGAGAGGTCAAGAGAAAAATTAAAGCAAAATAGTCGTTACAATAAAATATCCTTTCTGCAATGACAGGTTCAATCTCACTTGTAATGTAAGTGTAAAAAATGTTGCTAACAAAGAAGTACGAGTATATATGTGATAGAGTATGAAGGGTGAATGACGAAGAACTGTGCAAATGATATGGGAACCAACCAGAAACGAAGAGATGAGGTTTTGAAATGATGAAAAGAATATCAATATGCCACATATTTGTTTTTTTAAGACAATCATGGTAATATTCCTACTTTAAGGAAACTTAAGATTGGGTAGACATACAGCGAATAAACAAAAATATAAAAATTATAAGGAAATGTGATCTTGAATTGGCTCCTATTCTTCCCAAACTTTACAATAAATGCCTTGGGGCTTCTTGCTTTCCAGCTTTGTATAAATTTCTCCTCTGTAGTTCCTGTTTTTAAGAACTCTGATGAACATTCTG